GTTTTTAGTGATGTTGTAGCCTGCCTCAAGTCACAAGGAGAGGTGGGTAAGAAATAAAATTATTATTTTGCACCAGGATTGTGGCGCAGCTGGCTGAGTGTCAGCCGCATTAAGATCACTCTGACCAAAAGGTCATGAGTTCGAAGCCAGCCCGGGTTGGAGTGGGTTTCCAACCAATTGTGTAGCCTGTTGTCGACCTTTGCAACCCGAAAGACAGTTGCATCTGTCAAGTAGGAAAATTAGGTACCACCTTAAAGTGTGGGGAGGCTAAATTAACTAATTTATGAGGCCATAAAAAAGACTCCAGCAAAAAAGCATGCGGGGAATGCGGAAGTACTTCATCAGATGGACGCAGATGGACGATGAAAGCGACAGCTCCCCTGGCAGCCAGAAAGTTAAATACCCTCTGTGTATGTCTGTATATGTTGTATGTCAAAATTGGCATTGAATGTTTGCCATATATGTGTACACTGTAATCCGCCCCGAGTCCCCTGAGGGGTGGGAAGGGCGGAATATAAATGCTGTAAATAAATAAATAAATTTTGTTAGTCCTGGCCCAGTTTACCGATAAGGTTGTATTCAGCACTTTGCCCTCCGTCCTTGGCCCTACAGCGTGGTTTTTTTTGCACATATCTAACCCTCCTCCTCTCTAGTTTGATCATGTCCATTATATTCCTGGTTACTGGTTGATTTGATATGGTTAAACACTGTTTTTAGGCCTTGCTGTTTTAATTGTGATATAATTGACTGCCATATGTTATTATGTTTTAAACTGTATTTTCTTTCTTTTTTATTTTTTTGTTGGCGATTTTTGTGGTATAAAATTCGCTATTTTGGGCTTGGTCCCGCTTGTAAGCCGCCCTGAGTCCCTTCCAGAAGATGGTGGCGGGGTATAAATTATTATTATTACACATTATTATTATTACTACACATTTTAGTTTTTTTTAATTTTGGTGTATATATAAAAGTTGAGTGTCCCTTATCCAAAATGTGTGGGACTAGAAGTGTTTTGGTTTTTGAAATACTTTAATTTGCATATTATGTACTCAAATGAGACATCTGGGAGATGGGACCCAAATCTAAACATGAAAGTGATTTATGTTTCATAGACATCTTATATGCTTAACTTGAAGGTAATTTTTTTTAAAAATGTGTTTCATAAAAATATGCATAAACCAAATTGTGTGTACTGAACCATATAAAAGCAAATTTGGCACTATCTCAGCCACACATGTGGAACATTTTGTGTTTTGGAGTATTTCAAATTTCTGGATAAGAGCTATTCAACTTGTACATTTGATGGTATTATTTAAATACACAATAACAGCAGCAGTAACAACATGGCAGTGAGTGGGAACCTTCCTTTTCCCTTTCCAAATAACACATCAGACCCATTCAGGGAGTTTCCTGTCTCTCAGCTTATGTCACCTGCTTTCCACAGACAACTCTATAGGCATTTTGTGACACAAGTCAGGTCACTAAATGTGTTCATTCAATGGTGTCCACAACAAACACATACATTTTACAGCTCATTTCCCTTCCCTACATAACTCTTAGAGTTTATAGTGCAAAAGTGGGGACAACCCAAAAATGGCACAATCCCAGAGGCAGAGAGAAAAGACTATTAATGTATGAGAACTCAGGCCCCTTCTACACAACTGTATAAAATCCACACTGAACTGGATTATATGACAGTGTATACTTAGATAACCCAGTTAAAAGCAGATATTGTGGATTACCAGCCTTGATATTCTGGGTTATATGGCTGTGTGGAAGGGCTCTAAGATGCAAGAGGGGCACATAATAATAATAATAATAATAATAATAAGAAGAAGAAGAAGAAGAAGAAGAAGAAGAAGAAGAACAACAACAACAACAACAACAACAACAACAACAACAACAACTTTATTTTTATACCCCGCCTTCATCTCTCCGAAGGGCCTTGAGGCAGCTTACATATGGAACTATGTGCCTAAAACAGCGCATAAAATAAACACACAGTACAATATAGAATGAAACCAAAAGAACATAAAACAATACGCTGAGCCTTCACAGCAGTGGCGCCATCAGTCTGGAATGCTCTGCCACCTGAAGTTCGTGCCCTGCGGGACTTACCAGCTTTCCGCAGGGCATGTAAGACATACCTGTTCCGACAGGCTTTTAATGTTTGATACTGTTGTTTTTAAATTGTTTTAAATTGCTTTTAAACTTTGTTAGATTTTAGCTATTCTTGTAAGCCGCTCCGAGCCCCAGGGGAGTGGCGGCATATAAGTTTAAATAATAAATAAATAAATAAAATAATTTAAACTCAAAAACAGTGCCCAATAACCTATGATGAGAACTGTCGTGAAACCTGGCCAACTGTACACAAAAACAAGGGAATTAATAGTGCAAATAGTATCTAACAAGCTCATAGAAGTTATGAAAGCACAGAGCTATGGCAGGTTGAAGAGAAAGAAGGAAAAGGCGGAGAAGAGGAAAAGGGAAGAAGGAAGAGAATAAAACAGGAAGAATGAAAAGAGAAAGATTTATATTTTTTGTGATGTCACTGTTTAATTTTATGGTAATGCTTTATTGTTATGGCATTGAATGTTTCCTGTTGCTTGTTGGAAACTACCCTGAGTCCCCATGGGGAGACAGGGAGGGATATAAATAAAGTGTTATTTTATTAGAATTTTATAGAAGAACAAGAGAGGGAAGAAACTGGAATGAAATAAAAGAGGAAGCTTTAAAAGGAGAAAATGTATGGAAGGAAAAAGAATACACTGGGAAATAAAGATTTAAAATGAGAACAAGGGAGAGAAGAAAAGGGAAAGAATATAAAGAGGCAGATTTAAAAGAGAAAGATGAACAAAGGTGAGAATAGAAGGGAAAGAAAATAAAGGGGAAGGAATCAAAAGAGAAAATAGGTTGTTGTAAGTTTTTTGAGCTGTATGGCTGTGTTCCAGAAATGCTAATCAAGGTGGCCAATTGAAACAGTCACACTTGCCTCCAACAGACAAGAGTTCTTTCTCCCACCCTGGACATTCCACAGATATATAAACCCCACTTGTCTAGTTTCCAACAGACCTCACAACCTCTGAGGATGCCTGCCATAGGTGCAGGCGAAACGTCAGGAGAGAATGCTTCTGGAACATGGCCATACAGCCCAGAAAACTCACAACAACCCAGTGATTCTGGCCATGAAAGTCTTTGACAATACACAAAAAAGGAAGATTTGAAAGGGAAAGATGAACAAGGGTGAGAATAGAAAGGATAGAAAGTATAAAGGGTAAGGAATAAAAAAGAAAAAGCAAGATCTGAAAGGGCAAGGTGAACAAGGGTGGGAATAGAAGGAATAGAAAGAAAAAAGATTTAAAAGAGAAAGATGAACATGGGTGAGAATAGAAGAGAAAGAAAGTATAAAGGGGAAGGAATAGAAAGAAAAAAGATTTTAAAAAGAAAGATGAACATGGGTGAGAATAGAAGAGAAAGAAAATATAAAGGGGAAGGAATAGAAAGAAAAAAGATTTGAAAGAGAAAGATGAACATGGGTGAGAATAGAAGAGAAAGAAAATATAAAGGGGAAGGAATAGAAAAAAATATTTGAAAGGGAAAGATGAACATGGGTGAGAATAGAAGAGAAGGAAAATATAAAGGGGAAGGAATCAAAAGAGAAAGAATGGAAAAGGAAAGATGAACAAGAGCAAGAATAGAAGGGAAAGAAAGTATAAAGTGGAAGGAATCAAAAGAGAAAGAATTGAAAGGGAAAGATGAACAAGGGTGTGAATAGAAGGGAAAGAAATAATAAAGGGGAAGGAATCAAAAGAGAATGTGTGTTGTTGTAAGTTTTTCCGGCTGTATGGCCATGTTCCAGAAGCATTCTCTCCTGACATTTCGCCTGCATCTATGACAGAGATTGTGAGGTCTATTGAAAACTAGGAAAATGAACTTTTTCTCCCACCCTGGACATTATTCCACAGATATATAAAACCCATTTTCCTAGTTTCCAAGAGACTTCACAACCTCTGAGGTTGCCTGCCATGGATGCAGGTGAAACGTCAGGAGAGAATGCTTCTGGAACATGGCCATACAGCCCAGAAACTCAACAAACCCAGTGATTCCTGAGGGAAAACAATCTGGGACATCTAATCACCTAGAATCATAGAATCAAAGAGTTGGAAGAGACCTCATGGGCCATCCCAGTCCAACCCCATTCTGCCAAGAAGCAGGAATATTGCATTTAAATCCCCCGATAGATGGCCATCCAGCCACTGTTTAAAAGCTTCCAAAGAAGGAGCCTCCACCACATTCCGGGGCAGAGAGTTCCACTGCTGAACGGCTCTCACAGTCAGGAAGTTCTTTCTCATGTTCAGATGGAATCTTCTTTCTTGTAGTTTGAAGCCATTGTTCCGTTTCCTAGTCTCCAGTGGAAGCAGAAAACAAGCTTGCTCCCTCCTCCCTGTGGCTTCCTCTCACATATTTATACATGGCCATCATATCTCCTCTCAGCCTTCTCTTCTTCAGGCTAAACCTGCCCAGCTCCTTAAGCCGCTCCTCATAGGGCTTGTTCTCCAGACCTTTTATCATTTTAGTCGCCTCCTCTGGACACATTCCAGCTTGTCAATATCTCTCCAGCTTGTCAAAATCTCAGCTTGTCAATTCATCTCTCAACAAAAGATTGCTCCAGGCACTGCCAGGCATTCAAATGCTAATCAAGGTGGTCAGTTGAAACATTCACACCTAGCTCCAACAGACAAGAGTCCTTTGTCCCACCCTGGTCATTCCACAGATATATAAACCCTTTCCTAGTTCCAACAGACCTCACAACCTCTGAGGTTGCCTGCCATGGATGCAGGCGAAACGTCAGGAGAGAATGCTTCTGGAACATGGCCATACAGCCTGAAAAACTTACAACAACCCAGTGATTCCTGCCATGAAAGCCTTCGACAATACACAAAAGAGGAAGACTTGAAAGGGAAAGATGAACAAGGGAGAGAAGAAAAAAGGGAAATATTCACCTCCTTCCGCTCCTCCACACCTGCTTCTTCTTCTGCTTCTCCTTCTCCTTCCTTCCTTCAAACAAACAAAACACTCTCTCACACCCAGAACAGGAAGCGCACTGAGAGAGAGAGAGAGAGAGAGAGGGAAAAAAAGAGAAAGGCGTGACCCCGGATGTAGATGAGGACCTCTGACGCGAGGAAGAGACCTCTGGCGCGCGGGGGAGGGAGAGCAAAACAGAGCCAGGAGGAGGGCGGACATCAACAAACCCGGGGTGCCCCAGGCACGCATGCGCGGATCACGGGCCGGCCGTGGGCGGGGCTTATTTTGGCGCAGGCGCGCTGAGTGGTCTCCCATAAGGGTGTATTTACATCAGATCTGTGCCAACTTAAGGGATGCTGCCTCTAATAGTCTAAGGTGTAATTCTGCATTGTAATGTAATAATACTAATGTATTATATTATGTATAATATTAATAATGTTGTAAAATGTTATATATGGAAACTTATGATATAGTACAGTCTTATATATATATAAATGCTCTGTGCATAATGAGTACCTTAAAAACAAAAGGACCAATGAACAAAATCACACCAAATTTGGCAACAAAACGTCTCACAACACAAAGAGTGACCACCACTCAAAAAATTATGATTTTGTCATTTGGGAGTTGTAGCTGCTGGGTATTATAGTTCATCTGGCTGGCGGGGACAAGGGACAGGGCCTTCTCTGTGGTGGCCCCTCGGCTGTGGAACGCCCTTCCCATGGACATTAGATCAGCTCCTACGTTAATGGTGTTTTGAAGAAAACTAAAAACCTGGCTGTTTGAACAGGCATTCGGATAAACAGTGCAATGAATACGATGGATATAGGAACGGAATTATAGACGACGAATTGGATCACGATTCTAGTTATGAGACGTTAATGTGTTGTTACTGATGTGCCATTACTTTGTATATTATGCTCTTAATGGTTTTTAAATTGTATATTGTTATATTGTTATGACTGTCTTTTTGCTCTTGTTGTGAACCGCGTTGAGTTGCCTACGGGCTGAGAAACTGCGGTATACAAGCAAAGTAAATAAATAAATAAATAAATCTGCTGTCAAAGAGCATTCTGAACTCCATCAACGATGGAATTGAACCAAACCCATGACCAACAGAAAATACTGGAATGGTTTTGGTGGGCATTGAGTTTGCAAGTTGTAATTTGTCTACATCCAGAGAGCACAGTAAACTCAAACAATGATGGATCTGGACCAAACTTGGCACATGCACTGAATACACCCAAATATGAACACAGATGGAGTTTGGGGGAAATATATCTTGACATTTGGGAGTTGTTTTGTTGTTCATTCGTTCAGTCGTCTCCGACTCTTCGTGACCTCATGGACCAGCCCACGCCAGAGCTCCCTGTCAGCCGTCACCACCCCCAGCTCCTTCAAGGTCAGTCCAGTCACTTCAAGGATGCCATCCATCCATCTTGCCCTTGGTCGGCCCCTCTTCCTTTTGCCTTCCATTTTCCCCAGCATAATTGTCTTCTCTAGGCTTTGCTGTCTCCTCATGATGTGGCCAAAGTACTTCAACTTTGTCTCTAGTATCCTTCCCTCCAATGAGCAGTCGGGCTTTATTTCCTGGAGGATGGACTGGTTGGATCTTCTCGCAGTCCAAGGCACTCTCAGAACTTTCCTCCAACACCACAGCTCAAAAGCATCTCTCTTCCTTCGCTCAGCCTTCCCTAAAGTCCAGCTCTCACATCCGTAGGTTACTACAGGGAATACCATGGCTTTGACTATGCGGATCTTCGTTGCCAGTATGATGTCTGTACTCTTCACTGTTTTATCGAGATTGATCATTGCTCTCCTCCAAAGGAGTAAACGTCTTCTGATTTCTCGGTTGCAATCTGTGTCTGCAGTAATCTTTGCACCTAGAAATACAAAGTCTGTCACTGTCTCCATGTTTTCTTCCTCTATTTGCCAGTTATCAATCAGTCTTGTTGCCATAATCTTGGCTTTATATTTAGCTGCAACCCAGCTTTGGCACTTTCTTCTTTCACCATGATTAAAAGGCTCCTCAGCTCCTCCTCGCTTTTGGCCATCAAAGTGGTGTCATCTGCATATCTAGGTTGTTAATGTTTCTTCCAGCAATTTTCACCCCAGCTTTGCATTCATCCAGCCCCGCACATCGCATGATGTGTTCTGCATACAAGTTGAATAGGTCGGGTGAGAGTATACTTTCCTGCTGTACTCCTTTCCCAATCTTGAATCAGTTGGTTGTTCCGTGGTATGTTCTTACACTTGCTACTTAGTTGTTATACGGATTCCTCAGGAAGACAGACAAGGTGGCTTGATATCCCTATACCACTAAGAACTTGCCATAATTTATTATGATCAACACAGTCAAAGGCTTTAGAATAGTCAATAAAACAGAAATAGATTTTTTTTCCCTGAAACTCCCTGCCATCCTCTATTATCCAGAGGATATTGACAATTTGGTCTCTCGTTCCTCAGTTTCAGCAAATATGGAAAACAAGAATGGCCATCAGATTGGAAAAAATCAGCTTATATCTCCATACAAAAAAAAAAGGGGGGAAACACTAAAGAATGCTTAAACTTTCGTACAGTGGCACTTATTTCACATGCCAGTATGGTAATACTGAAGATCCTGCAAGGTAAGCCCCAGCAATACAGGAGCGAGAGTTGCCAGATGTATAAACTGGGTTTAGGTCTGCTTTAGGATCATCTTCAATTGGAATTGACTTGATGCAATCACATACTTTCACCTAACATGAAGCTACAGGATGGAGGACATTCATTCAGTAAATGCCAGTAAAATTTTGAGGTCATAGAAATATAAAAAGGTACAGCAAATCATTCTGTGCTGAGTCATTAAGGGCTGTTGCCTCATATTCTAAGGTGATGTATTATATCACCCTGTTTGGGAGGGTCTTGTGATGATTTGCAATTACACATCCTCTTATGACTGATACCATCAGTTAGTAGAAGATAGAGTGGTTACTCATGTATATATATCCAGTGTTTAATCTATTCATGGAAAATTGCAAAAGACCAAGCTCATAAACAACTTTCTACACAGGCTGGATATACCAATGCTGCTCCTTTTGTAGAAGCAAAAGACCACACTTGTGAAAGAATAGCTTACCACACAGTCTAACAATAGTAAGTTGCACCTTTTTCCTAGCTTAAGGGCTGGCAATCATATTGGAGGACACCGTGAGAAGAGAGACCTGAGGTTTCCCACCCATTAATCATCAGATTTTTCATTATAGACATTGGTAAGTGTGAAAATTGCTCTCCATAAAGGCTTAATAGGTGCCAACACTGGTTTTAGTATTTTAGCAGAGGAAAGCATGACTTTTTATTAAAGTTTTTATTAAAGTTTGTTCACATCTGTACCAATTGTCTGTGGAAACTGATATATATGAAAGTTATGACTGGTTTGTTCCTTGCAAATAATAATAATGTGAGATATGCCATCGCAATTCATACTACATTCAAGTTACCTTAGATAAGAACTGAGCACTAGCCACATACAGCTCTTGGGACCTTAAATGTGACCCCTGAAACACCCATGTAGCCATCCAGACTATTTAAAAATATTTTGCATCAAAATCACCCATAATGTGTTCAAAGCATGGCAATGTGCTTTCTTCAACCCTCCAAAATCCACACCCTTCCTGTGCTGCTTTGAGTCTCCCTTGAGTCTCCTTTGTGGAGAAAAAAGCAGGGTATCAATAAACATAATAATAGTAATAATAATAATAATAATAATAATAATAATACTGACTATATTGAACGTAACAACAGACTTGCAGTAATGGTGCACTGGAACCTTTGCAAGAAGTATGGCCTCTCCTGAAAAGACCACGGAAAACAAAGAAGCAAAAATACTCTGGGATTTGAGAATCCAAACAGTTAAGCACCTGTCACATAACACACCAGATATAACGGTTGAGGAAAATAGACATGTTTTTCTTACAGACATTACAGTACCAAGAGACAGTAGAGTCCAGGACAAAGAGCTGGAAAAGATCACGAAGTATAAGGACTTATAAATTGAAATTGGACGACTATGGCAAAAGACAGTAACAGTGATTCCAATAGTAGTTGGTGCTCTTGGAGGCATTCCAAGAAACTTTGAAAAGCACCTGAAAAGCCTGAATTTAGAGAGAATATCAGACCACGTGCTGCAGAAGGCAGCACTTTTTGGAATTGCGTAACTTCTACAAGAATACCTGTAATATCCTAGGCCCTTGGGAAGAGCCTGATATTCAGAGATGAACCCCAGGCACATGGTCCTAATATGCATGTGTCTGTGTTGTTATGTGCATATGCTATTTATTTATTTTATTTCAGACATTTATATTCCGTCCTTCTCACCACCGAGGGGGACTCAGGGCAGCTCACAACTGGCACCCATTAGATGCCAACAATAGTAGTAATAAAATCACACCTAAACATTAGTTAAAACAACAGAATTTTAAAAATTTAAAAATTAAATCTTTAAAATCTTTAAAATTAAGAATAAAAAACCCATCAGTTTAAAATAAGACAAATCCAAATCCAGAGTCATAATATAAACAACAACAACACAATAACAACAATAATAATGAAATAAATGTTAATGGTTAGCTCAAAGCCAACCAAATTGATAGTTGGAAGTAATCTTCCATCATTTCTGCAAGCCAAAAAGCATGGTGAGACACAGGGCGGAAAAGTGGACCCCAGTTTCAGCCCAGTTGCACTCCTGCATTATATAACACATATATTACACATGCATTTATGTAATTGTTTTTTTCAAAATAATTTAAACATATGATCGCCAGTTATATGGAGAAAAAGCTAACTCTGATTAGAAGTCTCCTGAAGATCAGTTTCCAAATGACCAAATAAATTTATTTTATTTATTTACCACACTTTTATCCTGCCCTTTTCAGCGTACAGACTGGCAACAATTCGATGTCGAACACACATAAACAAGTTAACTCACATAATAAAATTCATATAATAAAATTCATATTAAAACAATTTATAAAAATCAATGACTTCTAGGTTTAAATCCATTGTGAATAAATCATAGAGAGATGAAACAGGTAGTGGTCGGAAAGAGGAAAAACTTTTTGTAGTTTAGACTATCATCCTCAACATGCTCCTCTGAAATAAAAATCTATTAAACTTAAGAACTTTCTTTTGAAGAGATATGCATAAGACTTTTCAAAATCTTTTTGGTTTTTTGGTTTTTGCCTTCAACCTATAGTGGC